GTAGGAACTAAGAGAGTGTAACTGATGTAGATTCAAAAGGTCCACCCAAAGATAATTTCGTTCATCATGGAGATTAGAAGCATAGACAACAGTGTAGTAGAACGGTTGACCGTTAGCAATACGAACAAGGCAAGTGAGAGACTGTCTAGTCTGGTGAATATGAGTAACCACAGCCAGATCCTTCCAAATCAGAATGACTCTTCCATTCTCATCCATAGCATGGTTCGAAATAAAGTTCCATCCAGGGCAAACTCTATTCATAACATGGTTTAGGTTAGGTTCCTTAATATGGGTTTCTAGGATCGTACCAAAAATAGGCTGATTGTGAAAAAGCCAATTACTAAATGGCTGGTGCCTATCCATGTCATTTAGACCACGGACATTCCAAAAAAATAGTTTTGTACACATTAGGGGTTAACAGAAGCAGCTCGTTTAGAGAGGGAGCTACCCACAAGGACAGTATCAAGGGAGGAAAACTTATTAGAAAGGGTTATTTGGCTAGTGGTGACTGATTGGACGGACAAAGGAGGTAGAGGGGGATTTGAGAGAGGATCAAAAGGATTAATGGGCGATAATAGGGGAGTAGAAGGAGGGTTAGCAGAAAGCTTTATGGTAGGTGAAGGTGGAGGTTTTTTAGATTTTGATAGCTGACTGGTGGGTGGCTTAGTGGTGTAGGACTTTGTAGGGGGTCTTTTAAACGTAGGTAAATGAATTGGAAGCCCAAGGATATAGGGGACCTCAGAGCCAGCAGGGGATTCAGGAGAAGATGGTTCATCAGTTACCATAGTAGTGATGTCGGGAAGGGGTCTAGCAACAACAGTAGAGAGTTCCTCAATCAAAGAGGGAACACAGCTCAAAGCAGGAACTCCACATTTTACAGGTGTTCGAAGAACGTTCTCAGCAGATTGACCAAGAGCTGTAGTCTGATCAGCAACCGTAGAGGAAAGATGGTTTATGATAGGGGAGGGAGACATGATATTCGGCTGAGCAGCATTTTTTGATGGCCTTTGAGCAGTTGTTTTTGATGAATCTTGAGAGGTAGTAGAAGTACCTTTTGGAACCCACATAGGAGTTAGTTTATGGTAATTCCTCTGAATATGACCAATTTCTTTACAATTTGCACAGGTGGGAGGGATCCATGGATATTCAACCTCGACCAGATCAACATGACCATTCTCTCTTTCCAGCTCTATAACAGAGGGTAAAGGTTTTGAAACATCTATCTCAACTTTGATATGAGCTTCATTAACTCTAGTAAGATTCTTAGTGAAGTCATCCATTTTTTTTAGGAAACCCAATACTCTCAGCAACATGGCTCAATCCCTCATCATGAATAAGATCAAAGGGGATACCTTTCAGATGAACCCAAAGAGGAATCTTAGACAGCTTTCCTCGATGAGGGCTATGTGAAGGATCAGAGTCAGAACTATCAGGTGCTCTCCATTGAGCAACATGAAACATAGAGTCCCCGACATACCAAATCTTCTTTTCAAGAACCTTCAGCCTAATGAAGTTATTAGGGATACGGATTAGCATAGAGCGATTTACTGAGTTGACATGGATTTCAAGCCGTTGACCTTTACCCCATATATGGTTCAACACACTCTGGATGGAGCCAAACGCAGGTGTTCTCCCACAGAAGTAGCCCACAATGAACTCTTTGTGAAGGTCAGCACCTTTCTTGAACACAGCATCAGGAATCTTAACTCTCGGCCTGCCAGATGTTGATTCAGTGATAATGACGTTACTAACCTTATGCAGAGATTTATCCTCAGATCTACGGATTCTTTCAGCCAAAGATAAAGGGACAGAGTGACTTGTAGCTGGGACTGGAGTAGACTGTTGGACAGAAGGTTTCTGAAGAAGGGGTATGGTTGTATCGATAGTTGGAAGAGCAGCTAGAGGCACACTGTTAGTTTGGGTACCTGAACACAACTGTAAACTAGAGGACGAAGCAAGATTAGTGATAAGAGGAGAAGTGGCTTTGGGAGAGACAATAGTATATCTTTCTTCTACAGTGGTCTCAGATCTAGGTTTTTGAACAGTAGAATTAGAAGCAGCAATACAACGAACTTCAACCTGAGTCATGACGACATCAGGAGTGGGAACATCATCAGTCTGAGTCATGACGACATTAGTAGTAGAAGGAACCAAAGGAATCTCAATGGAGATATAATTGGTCAAAGGTGGAGGAGAAGAAAGAGGAGAAAGATGAGGGAAGTCTTGAACAGAAAGAGGCAGAGAAGAGATGGAAGGGTCAGGGGGCTGCGGTGGAGGGGGCTGCGGTGGAGGAGGAGGATGGCCAACTGAGGAGGTTGAGCATGGATTCAAGGCGGAAGCAGGGTTGGAAGGGAACCAGTGGTTGTGCATCGGGAACTGTGGCAGAGAGGTTTTGCTTATTTCCACTTTCTGATAAAGTAACAATCACATCGTATCAAAGTTTGTAGATGAAGTCATTGCATTAAAGAAGATGAAAATGAAGTGGATTCCTTATATTATATTTGAAAAAGGTATAATGAGTTCCACGATATTTGTTGAGATAGACTAAAACATTGAGAAAAGATACAAAAATTATGTCACGGTTATGTGTAACAATAGTTGCTAATTACTTTTGCTTTGTTATTTTTGCATAGATAGACAAGTTGATAATTTTTTGTTGTACACATATGAGGTAAGAAACATCAGCCTCATATGAAAGAACCGATAAAGGATACACTTTGAGTGATTGAGCAAGTGCTAAACATTATAGCAAAAGTGTTACAATATACAAAACTTAATGTTCCTGAAATTTTTTTGACAATACACAAAACTTAATGGCTCTCAAAATGGCTATAGGCGAAAGTTTCCATTTTAAAACTAAAGCACATATCTACGCAGCACACGAATTGGATGAGTTAGAGGCTTCACTATTTTTGTTCATTTTACTAGTAGGGACGTGAAGTATCACATTTTACTGGCAGAGAAGTGAAGTATTCCAGTCAAATCCCTTTACACATACATGTCCTACAAATTTAAAGATAAATAAAATTTAAACTCAAGGTAGAGCAATAATCTATGAACTTATTTGATCGAGTTAAAAAATTAGTAACTTACTTATCTTTTATTGTCTGTATCATAAGATAAATGAATAGCAAAAGATGTAAAGATGACATTCAGGTTAAAATAAATTTTATGTTTTAACTGATTTATTTTTTTCTTAATCCATAAAAGTAAGTAACCGAAGAAATTACTACAACTTATGAAATACCGTTTTCATTACCTTCCAAAAAGTAACTTTGAATCGTTTCTCTTGATAATTAAATCTGCAATATTAATTCAAGTAGAAGGAGATGATCCGCCGTGTCTATGAAGGAGATGAAGACAGTTCTGGACGTTTTAGAAGAGTAGAGGAACGGACAGGCTAATCAGGTCGGATTGGGATGAAACTTCTAGGGTAAGTTAATACACTCTCATATCTAGTTTTGGGCGAAATCGGTTTGTCAATTGGATTAGTATTCTGAGAGTTGTTTTCCCGAGAGAGGTTTGTGCAGTTTCGGATCTGCGATCAGTCCACTTCGAGGGAGGATTCCCGTCGAACCAGAAGGAATCAGAAGACGATCTACATACCATAGAATAGCTCTCTCTGTCTAGTTTCCAGATCAGGTTTCTGATCCTAATTCGGAGGTAATCTCCGTTCTCTGTGTGCTTTCGAAGTCAGCGTATCGTTCCTGTTTTTCTGAAATCCTAATTTGGTTTAGGGGTTTTTGGAGAAAGGATCGAGGTTTTTGTTGGTTCGTTATGAAGGAAAGATAGAGCAAATGCTGTAGTTGAGA